CTACGCCACCAAAGTGTGATTCTGGTTTCCCAACGTAAAACACACGTGAAGTACCCACCAACGTGAATAGGTGCTGGAAACAATCCATGCTCGTGCTCTCCAGGAGTGTACTCCAGCTTCTCCTTCTTTAACTGTATGAGGCGGCTCTTCGGACTGTGGAGACAGCAACAACAACAACAAACCAGAATGAAGCACATCTGTCATTTACAAACCCTGCATTTTCTGTTTGAATCAAGGCACAAATGTCTCGAACATCAGGCAAGAGAATAATCATACAAATGGCAAAAAACCTGATTTCCAGGCTGCTTGCCAAATACACACCACATCCATTTCAGAACTTGTGATTTTCGTCCATAGCTACTATTCAGGCAACACCTAATGGGACACCATCAACTTCAAATGCCCAGTATGTGACAGGTCAGTATTAACTAAAATTACAAAAATAAAAGAAGATCAACAGATCCTATCTGATGTTCCTTGCTCAGGTATTTGACACGTTATACATGCATAGTGCCTGCTTTCCTGATTGCTAACAGCAAACATTCTGCTCCTTTAGAGGGCTGTCCAACAAGAAAAGCAGCAAAAGAGCAGAAATCAGAGTTAAAAGAGCAACGAGATGCTCCCTTTACAGAAGGAAAAGATACAGTAGGAGGTTAGAACGGTTGCACAGGTCAGGCAGATGTCAAACCACCCAGCTGAGTAACCTGCCTTTTATAAACACCTCCTTTTGGCCACTGACAAACTGAAAAGAAAAAACTGGTGTGGTTGTATTTAGTACTGCAGCCCTGCCACACTCAGAAGAGATTTCTAAATGTTAAATACACCAAAGATTAGAATTATGTTAAAGCCTATTAAAGTTTGCTGAAGTTTTTTAAGGGATTTATTTTAATAACTGGACATACAAGTGAAAGCTGACTCAAACACCATGATGATATTGTTTAGCGAGTGAATGGAAAATGCAAGTTCAAAACAAATTTTGACACAGATAACAGCAACTGGAAACAATTACTAAAGGTCAGAAGCAGAACTGACAGATGGCAACAAGTTGCAGTTCGCGTACCCTTCTAACCCTTTCGGGATTTCTGGTACTTATTTCACAAGTATAACAAGTTACTAAATCTTAGCAAAACAAAAGCGGAGGCATGCTGCTGAAATGAGGGCTCTGTTGAGCTAGATGCTGTATAGACTCCGCTTTAAACAACTGGAGTTATACGGCAAGGCTCTAGTTATGATGATACACTTGCATTTAACTTAACGAGCGGAGGCTGATACATAGCTGTCTAACCAAAAAGCAGCAACATTCCCCTAAAGATGATGGTTTTTAAAAATTATGACCCTCTGTTTACTGATGGCAGGAATCCATTTCATTCGCTTTGGCAAACAGGCAGCTCCTTTGCCCATCAGGCAAAAATTATATTCTAGAGAGGATTAAAAAAAAAACCCAACCCCCCCC